ATTACAGACCCAGCCATAATTTTTTAAATTGAAGTTCAGATGACTAAACTAGCATTAGTCCATTTTATTGCTTTTGGCATTTCAGCCAAAATAAAATAGTCTCTAAAAAAAGAGAAATTTCTAATATTTATTTTTCTTCTTTTTGATCTGAATGCCATACTGTTAGTGAAATACTAGCGAGGAAGATAAATGCCTCTGCTTAATTTTTCTCACTTGTGAGCAATTTCTTCCTTCTCATTCTACCATCCTTCAAAAACTAGTCATCACTCGTTGCCCAGTCACTTCTGCCACTCACTGACTTGACATTACTGTATCCATTAGTAGATGCTATGTGTATAACACATACATTCAAAGTGCCCACTTCAAGCACAACCCACCATATATTCTAGAAATGCATCATTACCTAAAGGAATAAATCTTCCCATCTGTGTCAGCAATCAAAGAAGTCAACTAAATGATGAAGTAAATTAATTCAAAACAGAGCATGCTTGGAGCAGAATTCATGGACTTTCTTTTGGCTTATAAATTTATCCATATTAGTAATAGCTGTTTTGCTAATAATATAGGATGCAAACTGTTCAGCAACATCCTCCTCCCTTATCTGATTGGGCTAAATGAAGAATAAAAGAAATCAATTTATTTTAAAAATGCCCATCATGGTGTTGTCTTTAATGACTAGGAGGGAGAAAATTGTAAATATAGTATCTTTACAGATTGAAGGGTTATAAAATAGGTGTGCTTATTCTGGCAAAACCATAAGGAAGTACAAGTTGGTAGTAAAGACCAAATTATGACAGTTGTTACCTTAGCAAGAAGGGAGAGGTATAACGAGAGCGAAGACGATCCGTAGTCCGTAAGGTTAAGATATCTTTATTCAGATAAACACCGGCCAAGCATAAGCCAGAGCGTGCCCAGAGGCAGCAGGCTAGGGAGGCCAGAGAGAGGGTCCCCACGTGTCTGCCACCCCCTTAAGAACCTAACACACATCATCCTGAACCTCTCTTGACCATGCCCTGTCAGGCGTAGTCAAGCACACCTGTAGCTAGCTCCTAGGAGGCAGGGCTACAGTGTCTCCCTACAGAGAGGCACATGACTCTGGAAGACAAATAGGTCAAATTCAAGTAAGTACATGGCTTACTTTAATTTTTAGAAGGCACATGAGTGTTCTCAAGTTATTTTTATGTGTGTATCTTACTTATTTACTTTCTCTTAATTTGGGGTAGCAATGAGGCAGGAAATTGCTGTTGAAGGATAGTCAGTGACAAGTTACTTCATTATGACACTTAGAAATTGCCTTATCTATCAGATGAATACAATGTATATATGAACATCCATGTCTATGGGTCACATTTAGATCTTCAAAGACATTGATTATTAATTTTGAAGTTATTGTTATGGGCAGATACCAAGTCAGATTACGTACCATTTTTCTGGTCTTGAACTCTCTGTCCTCCTGTCTCAACCTATCAAATACTGGAATTACAAGTGTGTGCCATCAACTCAGGCTTATAAGTAGTGTTTTAAATACGTTTGTAAAGCAAAGTGTGTATCCTGGCTTAGCAGGTTGATAGGTTTAGCAAAAGATAAGCTCAATAATCTTTAGATAAACTTGAGTTCTAGATTTCTACATATTAGAATGCTAGTTGTGGTGGCCATTTTTATTGTCTTGATTTTGGGGGGTTTTGTTCAAGACAGGGTTTCTCTATGTAACCCTAACTGTCCTGAAACTTGCTCTGTAGACCAGGCTGGCCCCAAACTCAGATATCTGCCAGCCTCTGCCTCCTGAATGCTAGTATTAAAGGCATGCACCACCACCACCTGGCTTTGTCTTGATACCTTTTGACAAGCTCTGCAGCAAGGACTGAGCAACAGTCAAGGAGTTACTTCTGTGGGAACAGGAAAGATTATTAGAAGCCATAGAAAGCATTTGTTCTGGGTCTTGCAGGAATAATAAGGTAATTCAGGCAAAAACAAAACACATAATCAGAGGCATCAGACATGAAACTACATGGCTAACTTCAGTGAATAGTCTGCAGTCCAGTGTGAATAGATCCAAGGAAAGTGCAGCCATGAGCATAAGTACCCTTGGATATCGGATATATGATTTACAATTTTGTCTTATAGATTTTAAGAAAATTTCAGAGAATCATAAGGAAGGTTGAACTGAGATTGGGTTTGCACCTTGTAAGGATCAGTTGAATAGATAAATTAAGCAAGGAGATTTGTAGGGAGACAATAGAGTCAAGACCAAAACAAAAGATGGAGGGTTTGCTCTAGAGAGAACAACTGCAATGATAATGGAAAGATGAAAGGACAGTTTTCACAGCATTTCTACATAGCAATAGTGAAGGAGACAGGGAAAAGGCAAACCAAACTGTCTCGTTAGGTGTCCAGTGGTTGAGTGGTAGCAAGAGACAGGCTTTCTAATGAAATGTTTTATAAGAAGTTATCTTTAGACTGTCAATTGGAAATGTCCACCAAAAGGCCTTGTTTTCTATTCCCTCAAAGCAAATATGGAACCTAACCTCTTAGATCCACTTTCATTGATCCTATCCTAGTCTTGTCCACCACCATCTGTACCCTGAACTCTTAGAATAGCCTTCAAAGTAATGTCCCTGCTTCTACTCTGGCCCACCTTCTTGTCCATTCTCTACCCAGCAGTCAGAGAACTGTTATAAAATATTTAATTGGATGTTATCACATGCAGGCCTCCTCAAAATCTTCTAACAGTTTCTGATCTCATGTATAATAAATCCAAACTTCTTAATCATAACTTACAAGCTCTGACTAGATTATCTTCCTAAACTTGTTTTCCACCAGTCTTGCTTTTGCTCATTCAGTTATAGCCACCCTGGCTTCTTTTTTTCTATACTTTATGCAATCCAAATGTGTTTCGTGAGATACATACAGTTTCAGTGACTCCATGAGGTTTTCTATGGGTGTCTAATTGCCATAAGTGTGAGGCTTAACTTTTATGGAGGCAGTTCTGGTAATTCTAGGATCTATGTGGACAAATCTGAGCAAGTCTCAAAAAAATGCATTGTTAGAGGGATATGACAGGAGCTGGAGAAAAATCTCTTAATAGAAGAAAAATTTAAAATGCAATGCAGATGACCAAAGTTCAAAAAAGAGCAACTAAACGACTTATCAAACAAGCCAGGATGGGTGCCAAAAAAAGCTCACAGAAGGACACTTGAAATCATGGTATGTGTTTATTGATTTTACCATACTATCTCATCCCTGATTAAGTGTCATCTTATAGCTTCTTTCTAGGGTTCTCATTCCTAAGGATATAACTACCAATGCAATTGGAAGTTCTGGGGCCATTGTGGTCATTTTTCCTTTATAGTCTCTACAGGGATACACATGGAGCTACAAACATATTAAGTATTTGACACACATTCTAAACTCAAATGAACTTTAAAAGGATTTAATTCAAACTGAAATAGTAAAGACAAGGGTGATTTAGACTGATAGAAATAACTAACAGTTTTTGTGATGCTTCCACTTGAATGGAAAGGACACTATTTGTTCTATTATATACTTCACAACCCCAGTCACTACTCAATAAATATTTGTTGCAAGGGTAGACGCATGACTAAATACACTAACACAACTTCAAACCCTATTATTCAAAACTAATGCTCCAATGAGAGAAAGCAAACATTTTGTTTATTCTGTCGTGGTCATACTTCAGTAGTGCCATGTTTATATCTAAACACTCCAATTTAAAAGAGCCATCACAAACTTGAATGAGCCTATGGTTGAAAGAGCAAAGTTCTGAGAGTTTTGGAAGCAGTAACAGCCAATAGAATTAATCTGATGCGATCAGGAAGGGATGTAATAAAACTCTTGCAGTATTTGAAGGATCGCCATGTGGAACAGCACACAGAATTACTTTACATAGCTCTATCAGGTGGTGCCAAGGAACAGAGTTCTAGAAAAATAGAAAGATCAGCTCAGAACAAGGAAGCACTTTATTGTAACTGACCTCCCATGCCATTCCAATCATCTCTTTCAGGTAAATACAGAATTAAAATATGGTAGAAAATCAAGGGGGGATTTCTTTACCAAGCAGAAAATTCAAATGAGAAAGTGCTTTCTAAAGCCAGATTGTAACCAGTTAGTAGGTCCATGAAACCAAGTCTTGCTGGCCAGGACTAGAATTTTTAAGTGTATTTGAAAATAGCAGAAAGCATCACAGTTAGGATGATAAGCAGTTTGGAGAAATTTGTTTTTAAAACATGTTGACAGCTTTCTGAAAGTGTGAGGACAGTCACAGTGTAGCATGGCTTTGATACTGTGGACTGCAATAAAAATTGTTTGGGTGCTGGTTAAGAGCAGTTGCTGCTCTTCCAAAGGACCATAGTTTGTTTCTCAGCACCTGTCTTAGGGTTTCTATTGCTGTGAAGAGACACCATGACCACAGCAACTCTTATAGAGGAAAAATTTAATTGTTGTGACTTACATTTTTCAGAGATTTAGCCCATTATCATCATGGCGGGGAGCATGGCAGCATGCAAGCAGACATGGTGCTGGAGAAGAAACTGAAAGTCCTACAGCTTGTAGCAAACAGGGAGTGGACTGTCTCACTGGGCATGGCTTGAGCATATATGAAACCTCAAAGCCGGCCTCTACAGTGACACACTTCCTCCAACAAGACCACACCTACTCCAGTAAGGCCACACCTCCTAATAGTGCCACTCCCTTTGAGAGCCATTTTCTTTCAAACCACTCCAGCCCCCATGTCAGGCAGCTCACAACTGTCTGCAACTCCATCTCTAAGGGATCTAATATCTAGCCTCTTCTGGTCTTTGAGAGGGTCTGCGCATGCGCACAACACACACACACACACACACACACACACACACACACGTGCACACAGGTGTGCACACATACATGCACAAAAATGAAAATTGAAATTTAAAAAACTACTGCACTCTTGTCCCTTCAAGATGTCATATCTGGCCATCCAAAGAATTCTTATCTTTTTGTTACAGAGATCCAAAATTGCTGTGTATGAGAAAATGTGGTCTTACATGAAATCAGCAGAGCCATCTGTGTTTACCAAAACAACAGCTGATGGGGTAGCCCGAGTTCGAAAGTCCAAGGGAAAGTTCGCCTTCCTGCTGGAGTCAACCATGAATGAGTACATTGAGCAGAGAAAGCCATGTGATACGATGAAAGTTGGTGGAAACCTGGATTCCAAAGGCTATGGTGTGGCAACCCCTAAAGGCTCAGCATTAAGGTGGGTGGAATAATATAACAATATCCGTGTTGTTATAGTATTCCACCTACCCTGATGCATTTTGTTGTCATTTTCTTTCTTGTGGATTTTGAGGTAACTTTTAAAAGTTTAAAATCTACAATATTCCATGGAGTTAAATAAGACGGTAAATTATGGTTTCATCTATTTAATGCATCCATTTTTTTTAATGTTCTCTCTCTGTGTTGTCCTCTCTGACTGTTTGTTGCTGTTTTAATTTTACAGTTCAACGGCTTTTTCAATTTAAATGGTAAAAGCCAAGTTATGGTGACGAATGTTAATTGCATGGATGTGGTGTTCTTGTTACTTTTTTTCTCAAAGACAATTTCCCCATCCCGCACACTTCAGTTTTGAGCAAATGTTATCCTCCATGCCACCTTCTAATATTTAACCCTGTATTTGCTGTACAGACATTTTTATAGCTCCACGTTCTGTGAAATTTAGCCAATTTGTCCTCTTGTGCTCCTTTTTTTATACGTTAACGATTTCCTAAGCATTTGTGCATTTTCTTACAAGTTATGTTTTATCGTTTCAAGAAATGCTGTTAACCTGGCAGTATTAAAACTGAATGAGCAAGGCCTCTTGGACAAATTGAAAAACAAATGGTGGTACGACAAAGGAGAGTGCGGCAGCGGGGGGGGTGACTCCAAGGTCAGCCTCAATGTCA